ATACATTAAGAAAGCCTGATTTCCGGTTCCTTCTGCTGCAGACTCTTGCACTAATACCTGCTTGTAATTTTTTTTCAATAATTTTAATGTATGCCAATTAGTGTACATTTAAAATGACAATAAAATTATTCCAAGTCTACATCCAATTATGTAAAAAAAATTAGTACCCTTTCTTTATTGCTGGGCTTCAAGTTAAAGTAAATATAATAGTAATAGTAAATGCATTCAAATTCACTCAGCCAACCTGAATGACCTGGGAGGGGTTAATTATTGGTGGGATCAGGAGAGACTCCAAAAAAGCAATTAAGCTTTAAATCATATAGAGAAGCTAAAGATAACCCCTCTGCAGTTGGTAGTATTTGCATGTCAAGGTAATCCAGCCAACATTTGTGGAAGATTTCCTCCTCAAGCAGATATGGTTGCAGAGGAGGCTTTTCCTAAAGAAAGAATTTCTGGAGATTTGCAGTAGAAAGAAAACAGATAAATCATATTTGGATTGCAAGTCTAGATGGTAATTAGACCATAGCAAATAAATTTAAAACAGCAGCACCAGCAGTTCTTTGTTGTCATGTAATGGTCAACTAGATTTTTGCAACCTGGATGTGTTAACTCTAATTATGTTTCTTTCCTATTACTTATTGTCTGATGCATTTTTAAAACCGTGTACAGTGTACCTATGATATAAAAATAAATCAAATTAGGCCCATCCTGATCCATAGGTCAATTGCTAATTTTAGTCAGCTGCCTCTGTCAAGCTCACAATTCAAACAAAATTATGGCTATCTCATGTGTCCTGTTTTATTTTTGGTATAGAAAAATAATCCCTTATATCTGAAGTATAATTGCCATTCTGAGACAACAAACGTTTTGCATCTAAATAAAATCTGCTTCAAGCTGAGCTCTCCTATTCCTTCCAATCTAGCCACCAATCTCAATGAAGACCTTGTCCCTTTAGGATTTGTGCAGCAGAGGTGATATACTATGCAAGTATCGCCTAGTAGAACTTTCTACTGTACTTGGAAACAATCTTTCTTGGCATCCTCCTGATCTAAAATAACTGTCATGCCCCTTTCTTTTGAACTTGGACTACTAGTTTTCACCTGCACATGCAGCAGCTAAAGGTTGATGTAGAGTATTGATGCTTATGATGAATGAATCATCTGAATTTAAAAACACTCTGTCCATATAGTGCATTTGCTGACTGTACCAACCACTGCATCAACCTTTCTTGAAAGAGGCAGCTGTGCTAGGACTTACAATGGATTTTTTTTTAAACCTCACAGAATGCAACATTCAAATGTGAAAAGTTGGCCTATGGTCTGATAGTCCACCTGTAGTATGCAGCATGACTGCACTGCATACATTTACAGTAAAAAGAATATGTCATAATGCTCTTTATGACCTTACATCCACATGAAGAAATCACCCTTTTGAATTCTCCTCTGCAAAATGGATTCCTGGATATCTTGTTTTTGGCAAAGATGCAGAAATGGTATTAGGTTAGGATGTTTTTACATCTTTCACTCTAGTTTATAACTTTGGGGTTATCTTGTAGTCTGCCAGAAGAGTACAAATCAGGTTCTATCTTGCATAGCTGTAGAAATCACCAAGGGTCACCTTGATGCTGCTAGATAGCAAGATATCATTTTTATTGACATTATTCTTTCATGGGACGAAGACCATGGCTAAAGTCAGGTAACTGCTGCCGCCAAAGAACAACATCCTTGTTAAACTGAAGTATACTCCACCTTTACATGGCTGGATTACTTCAGGTCGAATGTATTGATTAGGGATTAGGAAGTAATAAAAGGAGCAACTGGCCGTTTCTTTTTGACATACTTCTCCTAAGAGGACTATGTGGATGTCAGTAGACAGAAGCTCAGCACAAAGAGCTGTAATGCACTCCTAGAGCACCATATGAGCATTCCAGCATAGTCATAATGTTCTTGCCATATGCTTAGCAGACTTGTCAGATAACCAACTTGTTGTGTGGCAGCTATTTTTATATCCTGTGCTCAAAATGGCCTGTTTTCTCTACTTCTTCCTTCTGACTAATCTACATCAATAGTTTTCTCTGCTGAATTGCTCATGCGATAACTTCTATTTCCCCTGGTTATGCGGGGGAGCAATAACCACAGATCAGAGAAAGGAGCCTGATTTCCCTGAGGGGGCTACTACTGCACTCTTGAGGAGGAAGGAGAATGTAGAATGCATAAAAATAAAATCCATCCTGATATTGAGACACCGCTAAGCCTCTAGCGTGGCTTTAAATGCTTTGTTATTCATCTACTTTTGGAGCAGGGAAAAGCTGCAGTTGGCAGGGCATTGATGCAGTGTTGTTAGATAAGTGGGCAGGACTTAGAATTGGTAGGTAGATGAGGAGGGTTTTGTATGAGTGTTTATTTTCTATTTTGTAGAGCTATAAGGCTCTTCATGGCTAGGAACCTGAGTATCTATGGGACTACCATCTCCAGCTGAATTCGGCCTGGGCTCTTAGAACATATATAGGGAAGGTTTCCTTGTTGACTCACACTTGGGGAGCTGAAGTTAGGATACTTTATTGTAGCACCAGTTCGTGGTGCCTCTGTCAGTGAAAAGGGAGCTCCGTTTTCTCTGGCAGAGGGCTGCAGGAGGCTGTCGCAGCCAAAAACAGAGCTGGAGATAATGGATTCTCCCAACCCCGCCCAGGCACCACAGGTGCCCCCAACACAAGTGATGTTGAGCTGGCAATACCCACCCAGCCCCCCCGAGGTCAAACATAACCCTGATGTAGCCCTCAATGAAATCGAGTTTGACACCCCTAGTGTAGATCATTTTGAACACAGATCATTGGTGTCTTTCTATCTTTTACTGTTCCTTTCTAAACTGAATATTATTGAATGGAAGAGAGAAAAAACTATATCATCTGTTCTGTTGGAATGATATCTAAACAGCCTTTGGTAATATGCAGGGAAACAATAAGCTAGAGGTAAGATGAGTCAATAAGCTAGAGGTAAGATGAGTCTTTGATTAAAAAGTAATTCAATATGTACACATTGAAAGGCACTTGCCATATTTAGTACTTCCTCCTTGGAAATCACCTACTTATATGAAGTACTACTTTCACATCCATCTTACTTAGAGCCAACATAATGGTGCAAAGGCAGTTCATACAGTAAGTAAACAGACTTCTTACAACAGGGAAAGTATTCTGATGGCGATGTAGCATTTGTTTCCCTTGAACAAAAAGATATCAAAGGAACACACTAGGATAGAAGGGCCCAACTATATAATCTATAATAGAATCTATATAACTAGAATATATGAGCAAGATAAATACATTCATATAGGATTCAAACTGAGATTGTTTGCATTAACGATGCTGCATGGTATAGCAGGCAGCTGGATTAGTTAGTGACTTGATGATTCTATACAATGGATCTTTTTATGTAGCACTGAATCTACAAGACTCCCTTTTTCTTTCTTTCTGAGCAATAATTCTCAAGATAAGCTGAGTTTGAAACAGAAGTCAGTCTCTTGTTGCTAATGAACTGTATACTATTACAGTATAATATTTGCACACCAAAAAGTCTCAGGTTGTAAAGCTTTCCCTCTTAAAGGATCTGTGAAGTAGCAAAACCATTATCTATGTTCTGTTAGTCTGTTGTTTTTCAGACACTACTTGATTACATGGGAGATTCATTTCTTGTATTTGCATATGAGTTAAATGTAGGAGAAAAAGATTGCCACTGTGTCTACTAGAGAAACCATCAAAAGGGGGTTAGCACTACAGGAGATTAAAAGTTAGGCTCAAAGCCCAAAGGGAAAGTCTAAGCAAGGATAAAAAAAACAGAGAACAATAAGTCTAGTGAGAAACTGAACTTAGACTGTACTTCTAAGCACATGATGCGATTCAAAAATGCCAAGTCAGGGCAGCTGGCCTGTCTCATAGGAAGCATTATGCTAGAGAAAGCTATGTTTTCAAAGAAACCAGAGGTCTACATGCTTCCTCTAGCATTAAACAGAAAACATATGAAAAGGGTAAATAATAGGAGAAAAATCAATTCCCAATTTAAATCACTTTACTTGTCTAGACTGATTCTTTGTCTTGGTGCCTATTTTAGTTTGCTGTTTGAATTGGCAAAGTCAGCAGAACTGAGTGCCATCTCTGCACCCAGCTGATATAGCATGCAAGCAACAGCCAACAGCTCAGCAACCCTGATAGAGTCTGACTGGTTATTTTGGTCTTCCAGGAAAACAAATGGAGTGTGTGTTTGTGTGTGTGTGTGTGCGTGCGTGCGTATGTATGTGTATGTGGAGAGAAGCAAATCTAACAAAACTTGTAACTTCATTTTAAGTTAATTTTTTCATTGTTCATTTTTCCAAGATTGTAAGGAATTTTCTCTCTGTCCTGATTGCAATTGTGCATGTAAGGTAGTTAGGAAGAGTAAAACATGAAGAAAGTTTTCATCATGCTTCATAGCATTGGTTTAAATTAAGCTTTCTCCACTCCCAACCACGCCAGAAAATTAAAAAAAGAAAAAGAAATCTTTCTGTTGCTTTATATTCAGATATAAGTCCAAAATAGGAAAAATGTGCAGTGAGAGAGCATAAAAGTTACGATACAGCCTTGCTGTTACTTTACAGTAAAAGTACATCCTGATTTTTAAACATAAATAAATCTGGAATGATATTGTGCCTTTCATGGATATTCAGTTATTGTTTTCTTAATAATAAAATTGCAAACATAGGAAAACTCATTATGGTGTCCATAAACAGGTAAGTAGTGGGATGTTGCAATGTGGGCCATGTAACCTTCCCAACTCACACTCGGGCTACCCTGCCTGTCTATTGTAATAGTGGTATGTGATGCAGGACAGAAGAAGAGATGAAACAGCCCCAGCTGCATTCTCCAGGCAGCTTCCTCTTTTCCCTGCACTGAGCTGGAGAGGCCAGGGAGGGCACTTCGTCAAAGACAGGGAGGGACTCTGTTTTCACTTCCTCATTCACCCTGTTCAAGCTCCAGAGAGAATTGCTCGTCTTTACAGTGTGTCCACACTGTTTATCACGAACAGCAAGAAGCTGAACCTGAAACAAAAGGATGTTGACCTGTTTGCCATCTCTCTTATCTTTCTTTCTGTGGCCAGTGGTACTTTGAAAAGGAGCTGCGACAACTGTGGTGGATGGGCATAGTAGAGATGGAAGACAGAAGGAGGATGAGCTACCGGCACGTTCATGACCAAGCAGAAGAGGAGCTCCAGAACTTAGAGTAAGAACAGGAGTTATAATTACAGTAGTTTGTGGGTCCTTCCATTCTTGGGAGGGTCCTGGGTAACTTATGAAAGCTGGCTGACATTATCCAGTTGACCTTTCCTGGTGATCCCTCCCCTATCTTCTTCCTTTAGTCTGAGCTCTGATCCAACTTTCAAAGTCGGGGTCTTGAAAAATAGTCAAGAAAATCAGTTTGCTCCTTCTCTCCTGTTTCTTTAAACAGGGCAGATACTTAGAATAATAGAATCAACTGGTTTCGATATTAGAAAAACAAGTTCTAAGCCTTAAAGAATGCAGAAGGAAGGGAGAAAATGCTTTAGGAAATGACAGCGATTGCCTTGAACAAGAGAAGAGGTTTGCTACAGGAACATTTATTTAATTGGAAAAGTCTTTTTGTTGATGTCATAAAACAAGTTGCAATGCTCAGTAACTGAAAGAGTGGTGGGTCACTGATGGATTGAGTGAGTTTCGTTGTTGTTTTTTTAAAACCTGAGGGCATCAGTGGGCAAGTTAAACCATATTTGTGGCTGAAGAAGTCAATCCCAATTCTCTTCCTGTCTATAAGCATCTCTCCTCACTTTTTCAGGGAGTTGGGTTTTTACTTTAACTCTATGACAATTTACAACAGATGTTGTCTATACTACAGATGTTATGTATTTTCTCACAAAGGCTGGAGGGGAAACAAGTTGCCAATTTTCTGCAGTTGTGGATGGAGAAGTTATTTAAACTTCAAATGAGAGATTTGGCAGTCATAAAGGCCTTGGGGTTGCTAATTATTGCTGTAATGGAATACCTATAATGCCATTCTGTTTTTCAAAAAAGTGTTAAAGCTGCAGCTTAAGGGAGAGGGAGTACTTCATAATAGCAAGACATCATTAGGTCCATAGTGATGCCATAGCATTACCTAACAGGAGACCCTATCATGCACGAACCCACTGAACTCACGATTCTGCTTTTTTCTGAGTAGTAGGATATTGTCATGGTATTACTGAAAGACTTGTGGTTTCTCCTAAGTAAGGGAACTCTGATAAATCCTTGCAGCAACTGAGTAATATCTGCAAAGTGTTTTTGAAAGTCAAGTGGGTTCACATTATATCTTGAAACTAATAAGGAGTTTATGAGAACAGTTCTAACATCTATGATTAATATGTTCGTTAGAAGCAACCAACCAACCTTATATATAACTGTGGACAAAGTTTGGAGATTTGAGTTTTTTTTTCATTAGGAAAAAGCTAGGAAAGAAGGAGGAGGAGGAGGAGAAAAACGAATGATTTGAGGATGAATTTATGAGGTCTGCATGAATAGGGATTCAAGATGAAATAAAAGAAGAATCATGATTTTAATGTTAAGCTACTATGCTTTCATACATAATGGATAGGATTCAGGTCATACTCTGGAATCTGTGCACAAACAAGGATGAAAATGTAAAATCCAGCCGAGTGTAGAATTGTCTCCAATATTTTTATCCATTTGTGAACATGGATAAACAAAAAATCAAAGTAGAGGAAAACATATTTACAACCACAATTGGGACCAGAATTTCCATTGCTAAGCAAGGCAAGTGTTAAGTAAATTATGCCCACTTTTATGACTTTTTCGCCATGGTTGTTCAGTGAATCTGTCTTCCTCCATTGAGTTTGCTTGTCAGAAGCTGTCCAGGAAGGTCACAAATGGTGATCACATGACCTGGGATGCTACAACCATCAAAAATCCATGCCAGTTGCCAAGCAACTGAATTTTGATGACACGATCATTGTGGGGATGCTGTGACAGTTGTAAGTGCGAGAACCAGTCATCAGTCACTTTTTTCAGTGCCATTGTAACATCAGACAGTCATTAAAAAAAGGTTATAAATTGAGGATTACAAGAAGTTTTAGTATTAACAGAAATGGGAGTTAAGTCTAGATACTATACTAAGCAAAAGTCAAATTGTGTTGTGCTAGTTAATTCTTCTTGCAACAGTAATCGTAAAAGAGTTGAGTTAGGTATCAGACATTCATTTTATTCCAAGTAAACTAAAGTCACTTCTGAACAGCTAATCTGACTAATCAAGTAATTAAATACTTTCCAAATTGCATGTAACACAAAATAAAACATGTTTTGTTATGTGGAAAATTCATGGTCAGGCAATCTCTTCATTAGTCCTGATCAAAAATATAAGCAACTTACCTCTTGCAAGACTAAACATCAGTTTTCTTGGAAAGCTAATGGTCATAATGGTAGCTTTACAAACTGTGGAAGTACAATAAAAGCTTCCTAGAATAGACACCTTAACAGCAGCTTTCTACATAGGTGGAAATTTCTTCTTTAGAAACTTAGACTAGATTTAGGCTTAAACTGATTTCTTATATATTTTTATTGTACAATAAATAGTTGTGAGCTTAAAGTAAAAATCCATGTTAATATTCAGATAGCACGTAGAGTCATTTTGTCCCTATTTGCTATGACAGGTTAGTATATAGTTATCTTTTGGAATCTGTCCCATTTGGAATCTCATTTTTTTCCTAATATCAGCCTAAGTGGTTAGTAGAAACAAGTTTGGTCATTTTTTTCTGTATTCTTTTGAAATGAGTTTAAGATAATAAGCCCTTCCATACGAGGACTCTATGATAAAAAACTATCTCTAGTTAATTTCCTGGTCTCATTGGGTTCACAGTGGTAAAATTAATGTTTGCATTTTTGAAGTTATGTGAAGCTTGTGCTGTTCATTTTCTTATTTCTAGGAACTGGGTTTCTGGGCTGTTGTTGCCCTTTCATAGATCTTTCTTAGAGGAATGATGAATTGACATTTTTGAAGCTTCCTCTCATAGAACTCATTCAGACAATTTTTTGCATGCAATCAGAATCATGCTTAGAATAGTGAAGAATAGATGGATAAATGTGTTAAAGAGTGCACCTGGCCCAAAGTCACCCAATCAACTTTTGTGGCTGAGAGTAGACTGGAATCTGGGTCAAATGCCAATCCAACATACTGATTCTTATTTAACATTTCCATTCTTTATTATGTGCCTTTGCAGTCTCTATATATGTCAGTACATAGCGTGTGATCTCAGGTCTTTGTTGTACATGAAGTGTCTTGGCTCTACCTCCTACTTGCCCGGAAGTTATTATTTATTTGCTGGAGGGCATCTGCTGGTGTGGAAGACATTAGCAAATGGCTAATGATCTTGGCAAGACACCTGTAGACACTAGCCAACCCAAATAATTCTTGTTTCGTGATTGTCTCATTTAGCAATTGTTTGTACAATTACAACAGTAATGGAAAAGTAATCTTGTAACTAATTCTTGCATTTATGACCTTTGCAGGTCTATAAAACAAATCAAATCCAAGATAAGCCCAGAAGCATAGTCACAATTTCATTTAGCAATTGTGGTTGTTAAACACAATGTAGATACAATGTAAATACAATGTAGACTCTGGTTATCCAAAACATTGAAAGAGGGTTTTTTGAATAACATGTTAGCACATGCAAGACAATGCTATGGAAAGCATTGAGGCAGCTAATTCGTCTTGAAGGCTCATCACAAGTTCTTGGAAAGTTTTCCCAGATTGTCTGCTTGTGCAACTCAGCCTGAATAAAGAATGTTCATGGTGAACATTCATGGTGAACGAACATGGTGACACTGTTAGAATGCTGCAGTGGCTGGATATGCAGACGGTCTGGGAAAGACATGAAAACTAGCATGGCAGGACTGGTAGAAGAATGCTCTTGAATGTTTTCCACAAAAGTAGAATAAATTTCATCTTCTTGGTTTCAATGATTTAAGCATAGAATAGCACAGATGTCTTGAGAAGGGCTTGGCTATTTTTGCCTAGCTACTTTCAGAGGAGAAATAAGATCTCAAATGAGGAATTTTCTAAGAAATGTTAGTAACTTTCCAGTAAAACAGCAGTGAGAATCAATCTTTCAGTTGTGACCCATGGCATTAATGTTATTTGTTTGCTCTTTGCTAACTCAGAAAATCAAGAGTGGCTTTTGAGAGTGGCTTGCATTGCATTAAAATAAACAATGGAACCTCAGGTCATGAACGCTTCTGTTCATGACCAATTATGGTGATGATCAAAAATTTGGGGAAATTGTTGCTTATGGTCGTGAACAGATCCTCGGGTGCCGATCAAATACAGCAGTGGCGATTTCACCTGCTGTGCATGCGCAGAATTGTAGGCGCATGCACAGTAAGTCTCACTTCTTGTCATGACCAAATCAGGTTACGACCGAAGTCCTGGAATGGATTACAGTCATGACCCGAGGTTCCACTGTATCTTGAACAATTAAAATATACAATATTTAAAATATACCTCAATCAACAATACAGAGTAGATCCCTGGGTAATTCTGAAGTGTCCAAGGTCCAGATATATTTAATATTAATTTATTTAAATGTTTTGGAGAAGACACCAATCCTTTGCTCTCAATAAAATACGAATATAAATTTGATAAATAAATGAAAGTAAATTTATTAATATAAAGATTATTAATATAAAAATTAATTAATTAAATTAAAAACTGGGAAATCTTTGTCCTTTGCTAGTTATGTATTTATTTATTAAAGATAATTTATATGGCTGCCCACTCACTCTCAGTGACTCTGGGCAGCTTACAAAAAATAAAAACTCAATATACAAATAGTAAAAATAAAAACTCTCCACTTCCCTGATGACAGCAATCAAGCCACTTGATGGATAACCTACCTTTATGACCTTGTTAGCATATTTGTGACAAAATGTGTTCAAAATGGTCACCAGTTTGAGAAAAAAGCTAAAAGGTACATCCAAATGTGGAAGAACTCTTTTTCCAGTTTTTAAACTAATTGTTGATCTACTAGAGCCTTTACCTTCTTATTCCAAGCAGCTGAGCTAAGTCAATCGCCAATGATTTTATCAACTTTTTTTCAAAGTCCAACCATATACCGAGTTTCTCCAACAATACGGCCTCCCCCAATAGGAAGTCCCAGCATGTTTTATAGGCATAAAATGAAATTAAGCCCCTCCTCCCAA